CAGGGCCCGGAGGAAGGGGAGGGAGGGACCGGGGAAGACCAGACACAAGGACCCGCGAGGCCATGCCTCTGAGCCGAAGCAGAGAGGGGTGGCCAAGGCGGTGGTGCCAGAGGAGGGTCTCGTGAGACAGACGACGACACGAACAAGGGGCAGACTCAGGACCAGACCTGGACGCTGCAGCAAACACCTGACCAGACGAAGGGGCCCTACCAGACGCAGTACCTGGAGGAGAAGCAGTGGTCAGTGTGTACAGGCTCGACCCTGGCCGACGTGTAAACGTAGCCAGGTGGCGACCTGTATCCGCCTCCGTACAGTGGGTCACCCGCTGACGAGCAGGGGTGAACTGGTGGACACCTGCATCCTGGAGGTCAGCACCACTCACCAAGTTCGTCGAGAACGAGGGGAGGTAGAGACCAGTCAGGGTGCCAGAGGGGGCCGCCGGACACGGGAGGACAGTGGAGAAGCGAGACAGGACAGGCCCCCCAGAGGGGTCCGCCAGGGACACCGCAACAGGCCGACTCAGCGGCGTGAGAGTGGTGCGGTCCCTAAAGAAGGAGCGAGACGCTCCAGAGTCAAGGGTGAAGGTGTGAGAGGCCGAAGCCGACACAGTACCTGAGAGGGCGGACTCACCAGTACCTGAAAGCACAGACGCACTGGCACCTAGAGCAGCAGCCTCACTAGTACCTGACGCGGCAGTACCAATGCCCGGGTCGGGCGGGAAACACCGGTAACAGTCATCCTCATCACTACCAGTCACAGCATACATAGCAGAGAGAATAGCATCAAAATCAAGATCATAAATAGCTACACCAGCCCTAGACAGCTCTCCCCAGCGGGGGATCTCAGCGGCCTCCGGAAACTGCTGACGCCAGGCGTCGGTCAGGCGGCCAAAGCAGCGACGGGCTGTGTGGGCGCCTCCACACCTCTCCCCTGCACGGTCACCAGTGCGAAGAACGTAGGGGCAGGGACCAAGCGCACCACCGCGCTGACGCTGCAAGTACCACTCACGGAGCTGCTGAGGGCCGGGGACGGTGCGAGAGCGCTGCTGCTGCTGCGGCTGCTGCTGTGGCTGCTGCTGCTGCTGCTGCTGGCGCTGACCACCCCCAGAGCTGCTCCGCTGGGACGAGCCACTTCGACCCCCTCCTCCACCGCCACCCCCGCCTCCACCGCCACCCCCGTCGCCACCGCCACCTCCCCCACCAGGACCGTCGCTCCCACCGCTCCCACCGCCTCCTCCGCTACCACCTCCGCCGCCACCTCCGCCTCCACCGCCGCCACTACTACCTCCACTCCCGCCACCACCCCCCCCGCCACCCCCACTCCCCCCTCCACCCCCACCGCCTCCTCCACCGCCCCCTCTGGCTCCACCCGTCCCCTTGCCCCCCTTGCCCTTGCCAGTGCGGCGTCTGCCACTGGGGGCAGACGCCGCGCCGACCGACTCAAAACCAACGAGGTCGGCCGCAGCGGCAGAGGCGACAGAGGGCAGCAGGGGGGAGGGACCACACCCCTCAAAGATGGGGGTGCGAGGGTCACCCCGAGAGGCCCCTACAGCGACAATACTCTTCTCAGCCGCTAGCAGGGACTCCTCAAGGAGGTCGACAGTGAGAGTGGTGGGACAGACAGAGAGAAACTGGTCCCTAACGACACGAAGGGACTCAGGGAGACGGGTGACGAGAAAGTAGAGAGTGATGTACATGGGAGGAGGGTTCGCAGCGCGGAACTCAGCAGGAAGGGCAGCGCGGTAGCGGGTGTCACTAGCGCGGAGGTGGGTAACGAGGTCAGCGACAGTGGGAAAGGAAGCGAGGTCAGGGAAGAGAAACGGTAGCATGAGGCGGCTAAGGGTAGCGGAGGAAGGGGAGGAGTAGCGCGCAACTACAGCGTCGTACAAGGCCTGAGCGGTCTTGCACTGACTAAAGTGGGCACGCTCAGAGGAAGGGAGGTGGCGACGCACAGCAAGACGTGCAGCAGCATCGCGGGTCGCCCACTTGGAGCGAACGGCAGAGTCAGCATCAGCAGGCGGGGCAGGGACAGCGCCAGAGACAAAGTCAAAGAGAGAGACCTCATCTACCGCATCACACAGTAAGTACAGCTGCAGGTCCTCGATCCAGACGGCAAAGTCAATGGCCCTCCCCTCAGCGTCAAAAGTGAGAACATTGGGGGTGGCCATGGCAGCAGCTAAAAGTCTCACCAGGATGGGAGAGTCGGGTAGGTCAGCAGCAGGCGGCTCGGGCTGCTCGGGCGGCTCGGGCGGCTCGGGCGGCTCGGGCGTCTCGGGTACCGGGCGGCTCGGCTGCTGCTCGGCGGTTCGGCTGCTGCTGGGCGGCTCGGCTGCTGCTGGGCGGCTCGGCTGCCGCTGGGCGGCTCGGCTGCGGCTGGGCGGCTCGGCTGCTGCTGGGCGGCTCGGCGGGGCCGTCAGGGTGCAGCTGCGGGGCCGGGACAGGGGACGGTGGGGCCGTCAGGGTGCAGCGGCGGGGCCGGGACAGGGGACGGCGGAGCCGTCAGGTGGCGGGCCAGCAGGCGAGGTGGCGAGCCGTCAGGTGAGGCGGCGGGGCCGTCAGGTCAGGTGGCGGGCCAGCAGGTGAGGCGGCGGGGCCGTCAGGTCAGGTGGCGGGCCAGCGGGTGAGGCGGCGGGCCTTCAGGTGAGGTGGCGGGCCAGCAGGTTAGGCGGCGGGCCGTCAGGTGAGGTGGCGGGGCCGTCAAGTCAGGTGGCGGGCCAGTAGGTGAGGCGGCGGGCCGTCAGGTGAGGCGGCGGGGCCGTCAGGTAAGGTGGCGGCGGGCCGTCAGGTGAGGCGGCGGGGCCGTCAGGTAAGGTGGCGGGCCAGCAGGTGAGACGGTGGGCCGTCAGGTGAGGCGGGGGGGCCGTCTGGTGAGGTGGCGGGCCAGAAGTCGAGGCGGCGGGCCGTCAGGTGAGGCGGCGGCCGTCAGGTAAGGCGGCTGCGGGGCCGACAGAGGTGCAGCGGGGGGGGGGGGGGGGCCTGCTGCAGCGACGAAGAGGCCGCGCGGCCGTCTTGAGGGCGGCGCGGCGCGGCAGAGCCGAGAGGGCGGCGCGGCGCGGCTGTAAGGGCCGCGCGAAGTGGGGCCTGAACCGCGCGCGCGAAAAAAAATTGAGTCGCGCGCGCGACTCTCGGGGCGCCACAAGGGCAGCTCGACGCGCACTAGGGGGAGCGCGCCTCGGGGAGAATAGGGCGCGCTCCGGGCAGGAAAAAAAAAAAAAAAAAAAAATCGTGGGTGGGCCCAAAGAACGGTCCTTAGGAGGGACCCGCTCTATACCATGTGAAACTAACTGAACAGGAATGAATTGACTAAGTCAGAGTTGGGTACAAATACAACCCTAGCAAACTGTACCCCATATGTGCTACCCCACTATAGCCTACAAACATGCATCAGCTATAATAATCTGACACTTCCATCATCAGCTCGAACTCGAACGACCAGGTGAAGAAGTCCTTTCCATCAAAGGGTCTTGACGTCTGCATCTTCAGAACGTGTGCAAACTGCGACTGAGCTTGTAATGCGTCCAGTGGTTTTTCTTGTCCAGGTGAGGGCTGTGGATGTGGCATGAAGCTGATGGACCCGCGCTCGTACGGAGCAAAGGTAGGCTGCTGTTGCTGATTTCCTCGTGCATATGATGAGCCGTCGAGACTCATGGGTGTTGCTCCATTGTTGTTGCTGTGGTGTGACTTCGCAGGTGCCGATTGCTGGTGTTGCTCGTAGAAGGACATGAAAGAGAAAAACTTCTCCATCATGCTCTTGTCGGAGTCTGCAGGTTGATTCGCGGGAGTCTCGGTAGATGTTGCTCTGGGTCTTGTTGCCGTGCCCTCCTCTGTCTGTAGGCCAGAGGCAGGAGGTGGAGTAGGAGTAGTGCCCTGGGAGCCGTTGGAGTTGCTCCTTTCCTTTTGTGTATCCATGCTGATTGATACTGACGGTATAGAAGTTGAACTCCCCCTGATCGCTCTCATATTATGTTGGGCTGAAAAGGCCCTTAGCATCTTTGCAGGGGTGAACTCTGGGTAGAGTTGGTGTAGTAGCGGAAGCATTAATAAAGAGTTGTGAACCACCTTGCCCTAGTATGTGAGGGCAAAGTAAGTTGATTAAAACAAAGAGATACAATATTATATAAGAGTACAAGGAATATGAAAGGATACGGTTATAACTGTTTTACTTGTTGCTGTTGCGGTTCGATACAGTGACAACTCGGGCAACTGCCCTGTAACGAGTCAGTTGTGTGTCCTTGCTGTCGCGCTGTATTTGTCAGGTCAAAGGTCGCTGACCTTTGACTTTCGCGTAACCTCCAGCAGTTACTTCAACCTCTGAGGGTTGACTCGCTGGTGCCTCGATATGCTTTGCTTCGCTTGTGCTTTAGTGTTTCGACACGACAGAGGCGCTTAGGACCGATCGTTTCCAACAAATCCCACCCTTTCCGTTCCCATTGCCAGTCCTTTTCTTCCAGGAAAGGCTGAGAGAGAGCTGATTAGGGCTGGTGTATGTAGTTGTGAGGTGGGAGAAGATGGAGAGACGCAAATGTGGCTTTGATGATTTTTCTTTGTTGGAGGCGAGAAAAAAACTACATGTCTGCACAATTGATGCATAAAATAATATTTTGTGGAATTATACTTGTTTATTGCTGTACAATTATCGACCCTTCAAACAGAGCTGCATGCACTTGACTTCAACTGTAATCACCAGCACACCTGCTGCTCTAGCACCAAAGGGCAATCCTTCATGCCTCCAACCCATCCCTAATCCAACCACATTGCCAGTCCCACTAGAACTCCTACCCTGCACGAAGTGCTGCAGGAAGGAGCACTGCAGGGTGAGCAAGCATGACGAAATAATTTATGCATGCATGCAGTGTATTCTTCTCCGTCTATGTACAACGATAACCATAACGCCATCCATGCTGTAGTCAGTCTGAGGGCCGCGAGCTGCAGGGAGGAGAGAGAGAGCAGGAGAGATGACACGGGCCACGCAGCGAGCAGTGAAGAGGCAGTGTGCTGCACTCACATGCGCGACCTGCTGTGCTGCGATGTGGGGCTGGACGGGGTGCCATGCGTGGTGGCGGTGATGAACTCGTGCATGCGCTCGTTCACCTGCTCCTGTTCGTCCCACATCACCCAGTGCGACGCCTGCCATGCACCACACACACACAATTGCCACCAACTGCATGTGTCGCACTATCTGCATGTGTGCTCTTAAATATTGAAGAGTGAATACGGGTTGATGCAAGCTTGTGACTCTCTGTGCCCACATATGGGCTAAGGAAGAGATGCTGGCTGGAAAGGGTGCAGATGCTGTGGAAAAGCGGGCAAGAAGCGTGCCTGCGGGAAGTGGACAACGCGGCAGTCGGGCACGAGGGCTGGAGGCGGCTGGGAGAGGTCCGGGTTGAAGGCCCAGTCGTCATCGCCCCACAGCATGAGCACCGGTACCTCCACCTGCACGCGGAGCAAGGGGTGGGGGGAGGGGCGGCACGCCATCACATGAGGCGGCTGCCTGCTCAGAGCACAGGTATTAGCGCTCAGAAGAGCAAACAACGGAGAGAGGCGGGTGAAGCAGGCGAGGATGGGAAGGGGCAGAGGTCCATGCGGGCATACAGTGGCGTGGGAGGTGGCAGGGCGGAGCCAGTGCTTGTGGAAGGCAGCACGGTACAGGTTGATGGCGCACGTCAGCGCACCCGGGATGGAGAACGCTGCCACGTGCCTGGTGGCGGGGAGATGGCGAGACGGAGGCACGCGGGACATGGGGATGCGATGGTCAGTGGACGGCTTGCTGGCAAGCTGACGGCGGCTCATGCACGGCACTCAATGTGCGCCCCAGCCACCTCCATCAACAGCACCCGGCACGCCAAGGCCAGAGGCGCACGCGTGCCACCCATGGGCTGCTCGCCCCCATCCACATCAACGCCTGCTCAACCCCACCCAACACCCCACTATTCCTGCAAAACCACATCTCTCAACCCTCTTTCCCTCCTTTCCCATCCGGCCGCACACACATCCCTTCTCTTCTTACCCCCGCCCCACCAACCCCTCCACCCCCCCATTGCACCCTCGTGCGCACCGCTGCACGTCGTCGTGGGTCTGCGGCACCTTGGGGTCGCCCTGCACGACGCCGCGCAGCATGTAGAAGCTGACAGCGCGCAGCCAGCGCACCACATGGCGCACACACGCATGGACAAGAGAGCAGCAAGGGGCGGGCACGGACGTGAGAAAGGGAGAAGAGGAAAGACATGAGGGACGGTGGCGACAAGGATTGAGAAAGGGCGTGAAGGGAGATGGCAACAGACGCATGACACGGCAGGGTACGTGGTGCAGGGGTGTGAGGGGGGCTGGCGAGGGCAGGGCGGCACTGACTTGCTGAGCGACATGAAGGCCTCGCCCAGGCTGCCCAGCTGGAAGAGAACTGCACACGGGGGGGAGGGGGTGGGGAAGGGGATGAGTGAGTGTGCGGAACGTGGGGGTGGTGGAATGAACAGAGGAGAAGCGACGTAGGGACAGGGTGGGGTCGAGTAGGGACTCACAGATGTACCAGCTGCGCCGCATCTGCGTGGGCTTGGAGCGCAGAGCATTAGCGAAGGCGGAGGGGTGCGGCATGTTGCAGATGACGAGTGCATGCAGCAGCGCGGGGTGGTCGTGTGCGAACTCCCACGCCACGTTGCCTCCCCAGTCATGCCCCACCTGCTCGCCCTCGCGCCACAACATGCACGCGCGGCATGCAGGGGAGCAACGTGAGGGCACGGAGACATGCAGCACCACGCACTCTGGTTTGCTTCCTAATAGCCACCCCAGTGACCAGCAATGGGTGAGTTCACGGCACCACCCTCCCCCCCACACACGACCCCCGGGCAGCCTACCAGCACCATCTTGCTGCGCGCCTGCCCGTCCGCGTCCTCCCGCACGCCGAAGTGCGCCGCCACCGCCGCCACGTCCGACAGCAGCGCCGCGCGGCTGTACGCGGCAACGTCTGGCGGCTTGCCCGACCAGCTGTAGCCGCGCAGATCCGGCGCCACCACGTGGTAGCCGCGACTGCCCTCCGCACGAGGCGGAAGGAGAAGGAAAAAACGAAGGGAGGAGAAGGGCGCATGGGTTGAGTTGAAGGAACGGTGAGAGTGCAACGGTGAGGGATGGTAGCGTGGGGCGCGAGGGCACGCACCTGGCGAAGAAGTGGAACTGGTGCTTCCACGTGTACCAGAAGGACGGGAAGCCGTGCAGACACAGCAGCTGCCGGGGGACATTCGGATGCACGCAAGGCACAGCGGGAGAGAATCAGACGTGCGTATATGGTGGAGGATGGACTGGGGGACTGGGAGGAGAAACGTTGACGAAGTGGAAGAGGTGGCGCACGGACCAGCGGGCCGTGTGGTGCGCCGCAGTGCACGTAGTGCAGCTTGACGTCGCCGTTGCTGACGTAGCCGTGAGTCACATCCTGCCCGAACACGCTCTCCACCGCGCCTTCCGCTGGCTGCTCCTCCCCCATCACTCTTCCTCTTCTTGCCAGATCCGTGCCCTCTCGCCCCAAACACGTCTTGCGTATCTCCTCTTCCTTCCGCACCTCCGGCTTGGTTTGCCCTCTAATCTCGGATTCGCTCGATTACACCTCGCCGAGTGCTCCTTGATCAGAAATGCAGGCTGAGTAATGGTCCCAATGCACGAATCAGAGCACTGGACATCAATAAAATGCGCGTGAAGAAGCAATTGCATTCGAGGTTTCCAGGAGAAGAATTTGCATGTACCCGTTTGTGGATGCAACTCGTATCCCCTAAGTGACAGCAATGATAAGAATGAAAGGAACTGTGTTAAGATTCTTTCTACCCAATCTGTTCAGACCTCATGACACTGTTCTGCTTACATGTGGTATCTTGACATATAAAAAAACAAAACGAAACAAAATCCCCCATCAAAGTTCTTCATAACCGAAAAGATCCAAGAGTGACAGGACAGCACCATTCGTCCATCCAAATCCAACCTGCCAGACGAAGACATATTCAGTGTGAGCAGCAATGTGGCGGTGCATTACACACATGGTCGTCATGATTGCTGTATGCTGCATGCCACTGAATTTAATGCAGAGCGACATGGGATTGAATCAATCTTGGTGGCAACCTAATTACGGTACCATAAGGAACACACTGGGGGTTGGGCTCAGTTAGAAAGATGCAATACATACAAACAAGAGGTCTTAGGCACACGCAAGGAGCACGGAAGAAAGCGGGCAAGGAGATGCGAAGGAGGCACACCTGTGGGTTGTACTCGCCTCCACTTCCCACGGCACCCCTCTGCCTGCCGTCATACTTCTCATGCATGGCCCCCGTGCGCTCAAACGCCTCGCGCGCCGTGGCCAGGAAGCGGTGCGCTAGGGGGCGCGCGAGAGCAATTGCACGGGGCGAGGCAGTGAGGAGTAGCGCCTCGCATATGGCATGGTGCAGGGGCGGCCACACGTTGGGGTAGTCCCTGGGAGAGACGATGAGCAGGGCAGAGTGAGGATCAGAGGGCAAGAAATGAAACAGTCTGAAGAAGTGAGGAGAGAGAGGAACGGATGTAGGGAAGGCAGTACAGGAACCGAACCGAACAGAACAGAACAGAACAGAACAGAACAGAACAGAACAGAACAGAACAGAACAGAACAGAACAGAACAGAACAGAACAGAACAGAACAGAACAGAGCAGAGCAGAGCAGAACAGAACAGAAACAGAAACAGAAACAGAACAGAAACAGAATAGAACAGAACAGAACAGAACAGAACAGAACAGAACAGAACAGAACAGAACAGAACAGAACAGAACAGAACAGAACAGAACAGAACAGAACAGAACAGGCAGAAGCGTTTGGGTGGATTGAGGTGAGTTGAGTAGATTGCAGTGGGTGAATGGTGGGTGTACAGGGCAGAACACAGCTCTGTGCGCAGTAATGACTCACCACTGCTGCCCCGTGAATCGCGTTGACGTGGCAATGCCAGCTGGCAGCAACAGATTGGAGGATTGCAACGATGCGACAACAATGTCAATACGGTGGTCACCTGTGGATAATGGGGCCAGCGGGGCACAGTGGGGTGAGAGCGGTGAGCGGCAGACGGAGGGCCAAGGCACATGCATGGTGGGGAGGTGGAGGGCACGGCACAAGCAAGCAAGGCCACAGTGAAAGGGGACCCGGACACACGTACCAGGAGGCAGGAGGCCGCACCACAGGGGGATGTAATCCGATGCATACACATCGCCTGATGGCGCAGTCCCTTGCACGTCCCCTGCGCTGCTGCACCACAGTCAGAATGACAAGGGGAATGGCCGCATCACAGGCGGGGCGGTGCACGCTATGAGGTAGGAAGGCAGGGACGTGCATGATGAGAAACAGCAAGCAGCCCTGTCCCAGGCACAGATCTGCGAGTGCCATGTCCCGCTGGTGTGCTGGGTTGTACGCACAATGCACTTGGGCTAGTAAGGTTGCACTAGGTGTGTAGTGGATGGGGAAGGTTGTATCTGGTGGAGGCGAAACGGTACTAAGAGAAGGGGGTGTTTCGTGCATTACGTGCTGCAAGGAAGGCGATCGCAGGTGGCAGGTTGAAGTGAATGTGGTGAGACAATGGGAATGGGAATTTGGGTGAAGGAGGGGCTGCTGCTGCAAGGCACGTGGTACCTGGCACAAGCGCTGGCGTCGCACGGCGCTGCCACAGCCACCCATTCATGTGTCAGCTGGAGCAAGAGGGGGAGGGTGCCAAAACACATGGGATAGCAGCACTGGTGGTTGTGAGAGATAGGCATGTGCTGGAAGGATGGGCATGTGCTGGAAGGATGGGCATGTGCTGGAAGGATGGAAATGTGCTGGATTGATGGAAATGTGCTGGAAGGATCAGATTACAATTTTAGTTTTCCTCTGCTTTCCAACTTTATGCACTGCACTCACATGCACCGATGCTGGCCCTGCTCCAGCCCCCCACCCACACTCACAGCATCTGCAGCAGCGCCACCTTCCTCCCCACCCGTGCCTCTTGGCTGGATCCATACGTCCCTCCATCGCCCCACTTGCTCCTTGCCACGCTCTGCCGCTCTTCCTCCCTCTGCTGCTGCGTCACCTACCCCTCCTCCCCCCTCTGCCAGCTCCCCCTGGCACCACATCATGGCGTCCATGGCCTCCCTCCTCTGCTCCGCCAGCATCTCAAAGCGCGCCGCCACCTCTGCCAGCCATGCGCTACTCACTGCTGCCGCCTCTGCCCCCTGGTGTGACGGCATGGCAGTGGAGAGCAAGCAAGGTGAGGGAGCAGGGGAGTGGGGATAGACGGAATCACGGAGCAGCCATGCCGACAGCGAGTGCAGGAGAGGTGCAGAGGAGGGGCAGAAAGAAGCAGCAGGGAGAGGGGCTGCTGTGCTATCACCTCAGGAGGCGCAGCAGTGGCAGCGTGGGGGGGGTAGGAGAGGGTGGAGAGCAGCGAGGTGGCGAGCGCAGCGACGGTGGACTCGAGGTGGAAGAGCAGCGCGTTGAGGTCCGCTGGCAGCACACTCGTGGGGTGGCTGCTCGTCAAGTCCCCGCGGTCACTGTGCGGGCAGCATGACAGAAGGGTGCACACAGAATGGCGAGGCAGGGATGAAGCGTGGCATGAGCGGTGGCATTGGAGAGGGCGGTGGGGACAAGGGAGAACGGGCAGGGGAGGAGCAGCACGGTGGGGATGAAAGCATAGGGGTGAAGAGAACCAGAGGCAACGCAATGAAGATGCAACTGTCACGTATGCTGGGGGAGCATGTGAAGGGTAGGAAAGACAAAAACTAGTGCAAACTCTAACGATGTAAGGTCCCGACACAGCATACAGACAAGGGGAGCAGTTGCGGTGCGAGGAGGGGGAGGGGCGACGGGAGCAGTGTGACGGACCGCATCCAGCGCGAGCTGAAGTCCCACCCCGACTCAGCCACTGTCGCCAGCTCCCTGAACAACGCCGCCTGCACCTGCGAGGTGCCGCGCGGCGAGGTGGTGTGGTGCAGATGCTCCAGGGGGCGCTGCGATGCCAGGCGCGCTGTCTCCGTGTCCTGGCAGGGAGGACGACTTGCAGTGCGTGGTGAGATACACGCACAAGGTGACAGCTGCAGGCAGTGGCCCCCACACAGGGACAGACGAATCACGGAAAGGAGGTGCCTGGGCAAAGAAGGAAACAGCACTTGAGAGAGAATGGAAGCTGAGGGGATGAAAGTGACAGCTGGGCGGAGCAGAAGGGCACCTGAGGAAAGGATTCAGGGCGAGGGCGGGTCCACATGGCATAGTAGCGAGAGAGGTTGAACGAGCGCCCAGAGGGAGGGTGGTACACTGTGATGCCATGCGGTGCTGTTGGGGGAAGTATAGGTAGTGTGTGGTGCGAGACAGCAAGAACAGAATCAATTTGAGTGGATTGAAATTGCAGGTGAAGGCAATGCCCGCCCTCCCCCTGCATCACGGCCTTGTGGCAGCATGCAATGGTCCAACGACACATGGACACATCTCAGCATGCAAGAAATCACGACTGTGGTTGTATAGCATTCCACCTATATACGGCTGCGTCCCAGCTCGCTCCGGCTCTCACCTTGCGTCCAGAACTCATGCTCCCTGACCAGCACAGGTAGTGCCTCCCTCAAGAGACTCTCCGCCTGCTCGCTGCGCCCCATGCCTGCGCCCTCACTCCCCGCTGACGCCTCCCCACCCTGCGGTGCGTGCTGGCCTTGCTCTCCCTGCCCCTGCGCCTGCAGCGCTGCATGCACTACACGCACCATGTGACTCAGCAGTGGCGGCTGGCTGCCATGCGCCGCAGTGCACGCAAATGCAGGGGGGAAGAAGGGAGGGGGGGAACGGGAGAACAGGGAGAGCGGCAGAGGGCGTAAGTGAGTGAGAGTAAAATGGGAAAAAGGTTGGTAAATCAAGTGCAGAGAGGGAGAGCATGATGATGAAGCACGTGGAAGGAGGGGTGATGGGGAAGAAGAGCGAGAGCCTTGGTGGAGTGGACAGACCTTCTATTGAGGTAGTAAGCGCGGGAGCCGTTGGGAACATGGGCGTGCGTGCGGGCGAGATGCAGCAGGTTGCGCACGGCCGCCAGGGCAGAGTCCAGCATGCCGCTCACCAGCAGCCCCCTGCACATGCATGCACCACACCACAGGGACGGCGGATGGGGGACGGGCGCACAAGACAAGTGCGCAATGAGCAGTTGCTGCTGGTGCCCACCGCTCTGCAGGGCTGAGCTGAACGTGAGATACTGACAATTGTGAGAGTGTTCCCAGCAGGCTTCTGATGACCCAGCACGCACCTGATGACCCAGCACGCGCCTGATGACCCAGCACGCACCTGATGACCCAGCACGCACCTGATGACCCAGCACGCACCTGATGACCCAGCACGCACCTGATGACCCAACACGCACCTGATGACCCAGCACGCACCTGATGACCCAGCACGCACCTGATGACCCAGCACGCACCTGATGACCCAGCACGCACCTGATGACCCAGCACGCACCTGATGACCCAGCACGCACCTGATGACCCAGCACGCACCTGATGACCCAGCACGCACCTGATGACCCAGCACGCACCTGATGACCCAGCACGCACCTGATGACCCAGCACGCACCTGATGACCCAGCACGCACCTGATGACCCAGCACGCACCTGATGACCCAGTACGCACCGGATGACCCAGTAAGTGTCCCAGTAGTACATCTCCCTGAACCGCTCCCCCGGTATTATCACCGGCGCATGTGGCAGCGCCAGCAGCGAGCCTCCCTGCATCACCAGCCCATCATGCGGTGCTCCCCTCCCCTGCCCCCCGTCATCCTGCTGCTGCACCTCAGGCGCCGGCCCCGCGTCGACTCCCCGTTCCCCCCATGCACTGCGCTTTGAATCCGCGCAGGGGGGATGCGCGCTGGGAATAGCTGGAAGGGCGCGCACAGGATGGGAGACCGTGGCAGTGGCAGCGGCGGTGGAAGGAGGGGCAGTGCGGAAGGAGAGGAGCGGCCAGAGGCGATGCACGGAGAGAGCCCACTGGCGGGTTGGTGGGTGGACGACACGCGGGAGGAAGGAGGGCGGATGTGGATGGAAGTCAGAGGGAGTGAAGGCATGAAGATCCGCGCCTGCCGGCGCCAGGTGCTGAGACACGATTCGCCGAGCTTCCTCTGCCGATAGCTCGGTGGCTGCAAAAACAAGGGCAGAAGGCGTGGAGAGAGAGACAGGCCTGGGTGGGGAGGGCAGACGGTGGGAAAGAGGGCGACGAGGATGGCGTGGAGAGGTGGGCCAGCAAGCAAGTAGCTGCGCGAGCCGGGAATGAAAAAAAAAAAAGAAGCAAACTAGGGAACGGGGGATTATAGCTTTGCCACGGCCAAGGCACTGTCACATGTCTCAGTTCTCAGCATTCCCCCATCCCACTACCAAGTCCCGTACGCTCCTCCTCACCTCCACGCAGTTCAGCAGCCCAATCCGTTGGAATGCCTCACCTGCAGTGAGCGCGAGTCTGAGGGCGTCAACGCCAGTGAGCACGGCCATGTCAACGATGCTCTTCGCGTCGTCAAACGCGCCGCTGGCCCACAGCCGCGCCAGCACGTCCTCGCACTGCCACACGGCCTGCACGTCGCCTGACGGGTCCTCCATGGGAGCTGGTGCGGTGTGAGGACCGTGAGAGGGTGCAACTGCAGAAACTATTGTAGTCTTTCCTAGTTTCTTTCCGATGAGTCTCCCGTGTTTGAGAGGGGCTCAGGAAGTTGAACATTCGTAAATTTTAGGTCAGAATCGAACCTGCGCTCAATGTCGAGGGACATGCCACTCCCAACCAGATTGAGCCTGCATTTAGCGTAGCTCGAGCCTCACTCTGCTGGCACGGAATCGACCTCCGCGAAAATAGCATCCAAAACCAGCATGCAAGTCGCGAGAAGTGGACCCGCACAACCTGCGGTTCGCAGACGTTAGGTGCTGGCAACGGGAATAGATGGGCCGCCCCTGACGGGATTGAGAGACCAAAACAGGAGACGTTGGCACCAAGCCACGATTTTGCCACAGGGCTGTGGGTTCACGACAGGCCTTTCAGGGTTGGGTTCGTGTGGAGGACTAGTTTCGGGTCTAGCCCGGACTGCTTTTGGCTTCAGCCGGGATTTCCGGCCGTATCTCTCAGCAGAAATGGGTCGTCAAGCCTGACGACCTGTGACGACCTGACGACCTGCTGCCCCGGGCAGAAAAATCTAAAACCCTATCGGATGGCATGCCGCTCCGAATATATCTCAGCGCGTTCAGGTCGTCGCCTGGCGGAGCTCGCTGCCTGCGGGCAAAAAAAAAAAAAAACCCATCCGGGCATGCATCCGGTCAGGGAGGCATGGATTTAGGGTTGATGCCTCCCTAGGATGGCATTCCATCTGATAGGGTTTTAGTTTTTTCTGCCTGGGGCAGCATGTCGTCAAGTCGTCAGAGGATCGTCAGGCTTGACGACCCGTTTCGGCTGGGATATTCCTCGGATGGCATGCCATCCGATAGGGTTTCAGATTTTTTCTGCCCGGGGCAGCAGGTCGTCAGGTCGTCACAGGTCGTCAGGCTTGACGACCCATTTCCGCTGTATGTGTATTTGCACGTTATGATTTTTGGGTTGCGAAGCAACCCTTTACAATCGATTTTGACAAATTTTCTTTTCATGTTTTTTATTTAACATGAAAATAAAATTCGTAAGCTACAGTAACACCCTTCCCATTGTGCATATATTAATTTCTTTTTTTATTATAGTAGGTTTTTGCCTATATGCTATACTGTTTGCGTTTTATGTTTTACTGCTTGCCGTTGTTGTGATAATTGCATGTAAAAAATGTTACGAATATGAGTAATGAAGTACATACCACGCATGCTTAAATGAATGTAATGCGGCAAGATATATAGATGCATAATACTGATACATGGATGAAAATGCTTTTCCATGAAGCGAAATGCTGAAATGCAACATACGGGATGTCATACAAATGCGTGATAGTTAACGACCCAAAAACTAGGCTACCGCATCCCCTGCCTAGCATGGGGGGGAAGTCAATAGCAAAGTCTTTGAATAATAAACCAACACATGAAAAAATGCAATCTGTTAACTCTAAAAAAGAGGTTCACACTATCAAATCCAGTTCGAAGTGGCAAACACACGAGTCACTGAGTGCGCCAATGAACCAATGAGAAATGATAGAAATGAACCCCTTTTTTAAAATTGACAGACATGCATTAATATTGCAATGATCAATGAGATGAATGCACTCACAATCAAACACATTCACACAATCAAAAGCACAAACAACAGCAAACCCAGCCAAAACACGCGATAATAAATAACATGCAAATCAACATTAAATGGACAATATGACAAGATAAATCCTGAAAGTGACCGATACACATTTTCCAGATTCAAATCCCCTTCCTGAGCAGCAAGACTCCTGAGAAACGGGTTTAGAATGTAGAAAGGAGGAACGAAAGAAATAGTCGGTACAAAAAAAAAAACAGAAAAGGAAATGAGGTGTGATGAAATGACGAGATGCAGGAATAACCAGAAACAAGAACGGAAATTGAAGACAAAAGCAGATAACATAGGCACAAGAAATTGAAGCAAAATAAACGAAAACAGACCAAACTAGGACGAATTGACCTCATACCCTAATTCGCCTAGCAAGCTACCTCGAAATGGTCCCTCTGGGAAAAACGTTGAACAGAATGTTAAGAGGAAGATAAGGAGAAAGTAACATACACGGAAGAACGAAGTATATCATGCAAAAGGCAAAAGGGGGAAAGGATCTAATATGAAACAAAAAGAATCACTCTATCTCTTCCTTGCTCTCTCATTGAAACAAAGTCGGTAAGGAAAGGAGCAGAGGTTAGAATGTCGATTTCATCTACTAATTTTGCACTCATACTCTCCTTCACATTCTTCTCAACTCTCCTCATGCTCTCTTCTCCTCGCACTCTCTTTCTCCTACGCGCACACTCTCCCTCTCAATCTGTGCCTCTCCGGTATTCTTTATCACATAGTATTTTCGCACATGACTACCCTCTCACTCCCTTTCACAGTTTGAACTCACCAAGTTCTGCCGACATGCTCGTGCCCTTCTTTGCTGCTGCCGACGCGGATAATGCGCATGACGCTGAGCGTGGTGCGCGCCTGGCACCAGCAAAAACACACCAGCGCGACTTGCACCAGCAAAACGACGGTAGTGAGAGGATAAAGAAGGGGAAATGAAGAAGAGAGAGAAGAAGGGAGGGAGAATCGAGAGAGAACGGTAAAAGGGAGATAAATGAGAAGAGGGAAGGGAGGGAAGAGAGGTGAACACACATGTGAAGGAAAACAATAAGATGCATTAAAGATAATCAACGCACCGACATAAAAATTAGGCCTTACGAAACGACAACACGTCAGTTTCTGGATAAGACTGCTCTAAACTGAGTGTGAGAAAAAAAAGAATGAAAACATGAAAATACGAGGTGGTAAAAACGCAACCGACGAAAAGGAAAAGTAAGGACGGTGGATAGAGGAAACGGATGGCAGATTATGCACGAAGAAACGAAACCAAAAAAATACAAGAAAGTTACGAAGTCTTTACAAAGGGCCCTAAGCTTAAGCATCATAGTCTAGATAATAAGTCATATTTTTACACAGTTAGGTATTAGATTACTACGCTTGTCTATCTAAGACTCATCTAACTTCGTTGTAGTTGAGCATGGGGAGTAGTTAGGGGGGAGCTTAGGCACTTATGCTTCTCACCTTCCTCTGGTACGTGGGGTGCTCAGCGTGACCAGCGAGAGAAAAAAAGAACACAAACCCTAATGGAAGGAAGCATTTCGTCGCGTTGTTATTTGATATATATTTTTCGTCTCAGTGTTGAGACATCTGTGATGGCGCAGTCGGTAGGAGATCGAATATTTTCGAGAGGTCCTGGTTTTAGATCCTCGCGTGGTCAGTTTTGCTACTATCAACAAGAAACATGTACTCGGTATAAAAAGTAGAGCAATCATTAGAAAGGAGATCCATACTAGCTGTTAGATCCGTACAATGTTAGTTACGTAACAAGCTTCGCAACCCTAGGACGACTTTGTCGCCTCTTGTTTTTTCTTCATTGTACTTCTAGTGTATGCACCAGCTAATACTCGCTATCTGTACACGTTTGGCTAAAGGTTCAAAGCTATATTAGCGAGGTTCTGTATGAGCTGTTACCATCTGGATGGACTCTTGGGTAAAGGGTGTCCTAGTTGTGTGAGGTTCGAGTCACACGTGTCTTCCGTGAGTGGTTCGGGAATAGGTTTGGGCATCCGTGCCGTGACCAGCCCATTCTTCCCTCTCTCCTCCGCTCGAACCAGAAGCCTTCAGGGCAACTTGAGCCACAAAGTACGCAGGGCAACTTTAGCCGCCAAATGAGAAAGGGAATCTTCCCACGTCAGCATGCACTTCATCCCGAACCCGGACGCCTCATCCAATCCAATTCAGCCATCCGTCCGTTCCACTTCGCTCCAATCTCGATGTGCTCTTCTGGTGCTTCGTTCTCCCTTCCGAAACATACCTTTTCGGCCTCCTTTTGATTCACCCAGCGTACTACCAACCAAGTAACGCTGGCGCCCCAGCCCCATCAGCCTTGCCATTCTAGGTAAGACATGGCCCTCTACGCTGGCGTTGGTGCTCGATTGCACTGTCCCAGGCTCAGCTCGCCAGCCACGTCAGACCGTTCTACCACCAGCAGTCGCAAGCAGCCTCGATCGCAGCGTGTGATTGTGCCGCGGACAAGCGGTTCACAGCCAGCCAATAGCGGATCGCTCGCCCATCTCCTTCCAGGAATTCCTTGTATCTGCCGCGGGCTGTGCGCTAACCGACGAGGCGTCACACGGTGTGATGGGTCTACCCAAGTCGACCAGCACGCGACAGCGCGCTTGGCTGCCGCTGAGCCGAGTCAAAGTCACGGCTTCATTACGCACGCACCTGCGAACGGGCACGTCACACTGGATAACGGTAATTGCGCCAATTCTACGGCCGCAATGCCTGACGATGGGAAGAGTAGCGGCACGGGCGTGGCGGTGCTAAACTGGTCCGATCCGAGGTTGCAGGAGGAGCAGGCGAGCAAGGACACTGGGTGTGAACAAGGGGTAGGGACGGGCGACGCCAAGGGTCTGGGCATCGTGGAGTTCCTGCGGGGCAAGCACATCCTCGTCACCGGCGCCACCGGGTTCCTCGCTAAAGGTGACTCCTTGACTTCTCTGAAGCAGCGCGCTTCCGTGTCACCATGCTTTCAGCGCTACATTAATTGTCTTACTTGGCGTTTAATCAGCCGGCGTTCCTGCCCCCTCCGCCGCACCATTCCCGTGCGTGGTTGGCAGCCCTGGTGGAGAAGATTCTGCGCGAGCAGCCCGACGTGGGACGCCTGTACCTCTTCATCCAACCGCGTGCCGACCAACCCGCGCAACAGCGCCTCCAGCAGGTACCCCTTCTCTACCCGCTCGACTGCTCCCCCTCCCTCCCAAGCTTCGTAAAATGCATGATCGGGCTTAAAAGCAACGTACCCGGACACACCGAAAAAGGCGTGAACATCCCATTAACGGGGAATTTCGAGAGAGGAAACTTATAGTCTCTCTCTGTGTTGTCACCTGTCTGCACCTGTAAGCAAGGCAGTCTTGCTTTTTGCGACTAAATGCGTATACGCAACTGGACTGACATTACCTTGAACTTTACGATTGTCTTAAAAGTCCGCTAAGCTTGTTACACTCGTCTAACTCACAGCCACGGCACGTTAAACGTGCGAATCCTTAACGCAGCTGAATTTGGACTTGCCACATTATAGCTCCATCCGTCGCGCCCTCGCGCCCTACCTCTCTTCCTCCCGCCCGCCCACCCTACCTCCCTCCTTCCCACCCGCCCACCCTCCCTCCCTCCCTCCCTCCCTCCCTCCCGCCTACCCACCCTACCTCCCTCCCTCCCACCCGCCCACCCTCCCTCCCTCCCTCCCTCCCTCCCTCCCTCCCTCCCTCCCTCCCTCCCTCCCTCCCTCCCTCCCTCCCTCCCTCCCTCCCTCCCTCCCTCCCTCCCTCCCTCCCTCCCTCCCACCCGCCCACCCCCCCTCCCTCCCTCCCTCCCCCGCCCGCCCTCCCTCCCCCCCTCCCTCCCTCCCTCCCTCCCTCCCTCCCTCCCTCCCTCCCTCCCTCCCTCCCTCCCTCCCTCCCTCCCTCCCTCCCTCCCTCCCTCCCTCCCTCCCTCACTCCCTCCCTCCCTCCCTCCATCCCTTCCTCCCTCCCTCTTGCTCCCTCCCTCCTGCACTCAGACTACAAAGCAACATAACACGCACTCGCACGCAGTCACACATACCCACCTGCTCCCTTCCCACCACACACTCCTCTCCCCCTCATGAGTGTGGTTTCATCCTCCTCCTCGATCTTGCTCACCGCTGCAGCTCGTGGCGAGTCCAATATTCGGGCATCTGCGGTCAAAGCACGGCAGCGCGTATGAGCAGTTCATGGCAGCAAAGCTCGGCGCAGTGGAGGGGGATATTTCCAGAGAGGGGCTTGGTCTGAGTCCGTCTGTGTTGGAGGAGATACGCAGCAAAGTGCAGGTGGTGATCAACTCCGCTGCCACCACCACCTTCGATGAGAGGTACTTCTCATATTCTATGCACTCGTAAATATACTCTGAATGTGTCTAAACGTTCGGATCTTTCTGAATAAACCATGTGACATGCCTATCCCTATCCTTTTCTGCGCTTACCCTGTATCCCCCACTTCTCCCCCTCTGTGCTGTCCTTTTCCCATGCAGGTACGACGTGGCCCTGAACATCAACACGCAGGGACCGCGCCGCCTTCTGGAGCTCGCCCATTCCTGCCCACACCTCCAGCTCCTCCTGCACGTCTCCACAGGTTCACCTCTCCTTCTCCTCAAACTCTTGTAGCTCAACAGGTCTCCCCACTCCCGCACGCATGTTTGATTTTCTAATGTTCTGTAAAAGATCACAAAGTTTTGTATATGTATGTGTATATGCATGTGTATTTTGTTTTCTGGGTGTACAGCATTTGTGAACGGCAGAAGACACGGTCGCTGCATGGAAAGGCCCTTCAACTATGGGGACACGATTGCCGCAGAGCTGCAGCAGCAGCACAGCACGGTTGCACAGGGGCAGCTGGATGTCGAGACAGAAATAGCTCTAGCGGAGAAGGAGAGGCTAGCAGCAGAGGCAGCAGCTGAAGCGCGGGGAATGAGCAAGGAGGATGTGCAGGCTGCAGTGCAGAAGCACATGGTGGACCTGGGCATGAGCAGGTTCGTTGGCTGTCCGCTCCCTTGCACCCACAAGTAGTCTCTGTCGTTTCTCCCTTATCTTGGCCTTGCATCCTGACCGCCCCAGCATGCTGTGCTGTATTTTTCCCTCTGTACCCATTGGCCAGGGCACAGCAGTGCGGGTGGCAGGACACGTACGTGTTCACCAAGGCCATGGGCGAGATGGTGCTCACGCGCGGACGCAAAGACTTGCCCCTCGCCATCGTGCGCCCATCCATAGTGGAGAGCTGCTTGAATGAGCCCATGGCGGGCTGGATGGAGGGCATGCGGTGAGTCATGTTGGTCAGTGCAACACTTGCCCGCATTGGGTCTAAAAGCGTTACCTGAAAATTGCAGCTTTACATTCTCAAGCTCATGTCGAGTCTTTTTGTGAAAACTCGTGTTTTTAAATCAGTCGTTTATGGATTTCTTTATTATTTGTCAAATCATTTTCTGACCTTCAAAACTGCTTGCACTCTTTTTTCACCTGTTGTTTGACGTTTGACCATTTTTACTTTAGGCAGTATGGCGGATCCAATCTTGCTTGCATACGGGAAAGGACAAATGGCAGGGTTTTTGGCAAACCCGGATGGTGTTCTTGACATGGTATGATGCTGCTGATACCTGACTTTCTGCATGTTTTGATACTGTGTGGCGCCTGTACGCAGAGCTATTCCCTTCGGCTACCTTATTTACCTCATCTTCAACTGTGTTGCAAAAGTCTCCATTGTCATTGGCATGCCCATTGGTTTGTGGCTTGTTGAACTGATGGTATGCCTGGCATGTCTCTCCCCCATGCAGGTTCCATGTGACAAGGTTATAAATGCCGTGCTAGCGATCGCAACGCACACAGCATCTCTGGGGTATAGGACGCCTGTCTGTGTGTACCACGTGGCCACCAGTGTTGTCAACCCTCTGGGCATCCAGCTCGTGGCAGACGCCACCTCGGACCACTTTGCCCACTCGCCCATGCTGCAGCGCGATGGCTCTGCTGTCACGGTGCAGCGCATGCAGGTGTTCCGCCACCCGCAGCTCTTCATGCTCGACGTCTGGCTCAAGTACCAGCTGCCGCTGCAGGTGCGTGCACATCAAGTGCGGTGGGGTGCGAGCTATAAGTGAGCTCGACTTGACCACAGTGAATGGCAGAAACCGAACAGTTGCAGGGGCGACATTATGGGACGAAAGCCAGTAGAGCACAGGCAGTATTTTGGTACAGCAGTGACGATCTCATATCCTTCTCATTTGTCTCGTGTCCCTTGTACATGCAGCTGGCCAAACTCTTCCCTTGGAACTCATCCCTTTCGGATCGCCGCAACAACCTTCTCCTGAAGACAGCACAGCAACTGAGCTACTTGGCCAAGTTATATGAACCCTACACCTTCTATGCTGCCAGGTACTGCTTCTGCCCCTTGTAACCTCAATTTCCATTTCCCCTCTTCACCCTCGCTGTCCCCACCCCCCCTCTCCCTCCCCTCGCCCTCCCCTCGCCCTCCCTTCCCGCCCCCATTTCTTTGGAGATCGACGAGTTCATTATCCTCAAATGTCCTCAAGTTTGTTCATTATCTTATCTTGTCGCGTTCAGGTTTGATGCATCCAACACAGAGCACCTCTTTTCATTGATGTCTGAGGAGGAGCAGCAGCACTTTAACTTTGACCTGCGGTCCATAGACTGGCACGCTTATCTCTGTAATACCCATCTACCAGGCTTGCGCAAGTTTGTTCTCAAGGGACGCGGTTCATCCAATCTTTCCTGAACAAAAACTTGGCCTGCCCTGTCTCTTTTAGATGCGTGATTTTCCATCAAGCAAGTGTATCCCAGTCAATAAGACCATCCTGCATCAGCCCTTGTTGTAGGAAGATTTACACCGTATGATTTTTAGAGCTGTTTTTTGTATGTTCAGGCCCTAGATATCAGCCTTTTTACACCAATTTAGTGTTAGGTCATAACCTTTTTTTTTTGTTTAAACACTACGTTTGTTATGAGTTGTAAAACAGAGTTGCGAGGAATACTGTAACTCAATGAACTAAGGGTACATTTCCTGTTTCCCAATCTCGCGTCACAAACAGCTGATGTATCGCGACTTTGTGCGACAGATTCAGAGGTACAGTTGGCCGATTTCCATTGGCCCACACCATGTGGCTCAGGCCTGTATGTTTTGGCGCCGGGCAGCGCTCTAAAAACTTAGTTTGTCAAATGAACACACCAAAGATGGTCACACTAACAAAGCATGCAAGTTCAGCGCTGCGAGTTGGTGAGGATCAGCACACTTTTGTGCAAAGCAGGCCAAATGTACAAGTACATGAAAAAAGCCTACCGTAGCACATACACGCAGTAGGTCTAGCAGCAACTGCCACCATGGCAGAGCCCCGTGCTGTGCCTTTACTCATTCGACTTCTAGTCGCATGGATCACTTTCTACTTGTTGGGAACAAAAAGTCTTAAGCGCCTCTGTCGTGTCGAAACTCAGGACACTAGCGAAGCAGTCCGAATCGAAGCATCGCGAGTCAACCCTCGGAGGTTAGGGTAACCGTCTGGACGTTACGCGAAGGTCAAAGGTCAGCGACCTTTGACTTGACAAATACAGCGCGACAGCAAGGACACACAACTGACTCGACATTGAGCAGTTGCCCGAGTCGCACTGTATCGAATCGCAACAGTAAAACGGTTTAAACTTATCTATTCGTATTCCTTGTACTCTTATATAAACATTTGTATTTGCTTGTTTAATCAACTTACTTTGCCCTCACATACTACCGTCATCGCCCGGATATAAGACAATGTCGAATTGAAGACATGGGGTGTCGTTAAAACGGGTGTTTCTTATAGATGAGTGTTCCTGATTATAAGACAACTGTCGGTGTGTACAAGTTAAGCCAGTATAGGGATTAGGGGCAATCTTATGACTAGGGGGTATCTTCTAAACGGTTTTTTGTCCATTTATAAGAATTATAAGACACCCTAAACCGTCCCAATTACAAGACACATCAAGCTTTTTTTCTAATGTATAAGATAAGACATATATGTCTTCTATCCGGGCGATGACGGTAGCGCAAGGTGGTTCAAACACTCTTTATTCAACGCTTCCGCTATTACAATCCTACTCAGACTTTAAGCTCTACAAAGATCCTACGGCACCTCAGCCCAACATGGTATGAGAGCAGTTAGAGTTTAAAAGTCATTTTTTTAACACTCAAATACAAGAAGACATGTCTGCAAGGAAGGAAAGGAGCTCCTCCAACGGCTCTCCAGGCACTACTCCTACTCCACCTCCTGCCTCTGGCCTACAGACAGAGGAAGGAACTACCACAAGACCAGCAGCTGGGTCCACGGAAACTCCCGCAGGCTTCGATCCAAGCATGATGGAGAAATTCTTCTCCTTCATGTCCTTCTACGAGCAACACCAGCAAGGAGTGCCTGCGCAGTCAAACAACAGCAACAACAACAACGTTACTCCTATGAGCCTCGATGGCTCATCCTACGCACGCGGGATTCAACAACAACAACAGCAGCCTACCTTTGCGCCGTACGAGCCCCAACGTGGCTCCGTCAGCTTCATGCCGCAACCGCAACCTGCACCGGGACAAGAAAGGGCATTGGATGCGTTACAAGTTCAATCGCAATTCGCGCATGTTCTAAAACTGCAAATGACAAAGCCTTTCGACGGCAAAGACTTCTTCACCTGGTCGTTCGAGTTCGAGCTTATGATGGAAGGAGCACAAATTCTCGGTTTCTTCGACGGGTCCCTGCCATATCCAACAAACGGGACGCAATATGAGAAGCAGCAATATACTTATCAATCGATGATGGCGTACACGATACTGCTCAGAAACATCACCCCGACCCAGCAGCAGAACATCAGGACTTACCGAGGCTACGGCAACTCCGCGGAGCTCGCGTACAACCACCTGAAGAACCTGTATCAAGCAACAGACAACGTAAATCAAAGCAGGTTAATGGCGCAGTTGACAACGATTGAAATGAAACCAGGCGAGAAAGGCATGGCTTATATCAGCCGCTGTCGCGAACTGCGCGACAAGCTTCTTCGATGCGGCGGGTCGATTTTAGAAGACGCCTTTGTCATAGTGGTCATCGGCGGTCTCGGCCCCCACTGGCGCTCCACTCGCGCCATATTACGAGCACACGGGAGGATCTCTGAAGCGGCACTCTGCGCCGAAATTCATGCTGAGCAGCAGGACATGGACCTGCAAGAAGAAAGACACAAGAAGAAAGCATTAGCACCGGAGTTCGCGTTTCACACTCAGCGACGATACAACGACAACAACAATCGACAACAACAAGTAAAGACGGTACCTCCGTTCTGCCACATCTGCAAGACTTCGGGCCATCCTCGCACGCATTGCCCGTCTCGTCAGACAACACCACAGCGACAACTCCGGCCTTCAAGCTCCCAAGTTACTTCAACGCAAGCAAATCCGACGACAACAATCCAAGCTTCAACGGCTTCAACTGGACAACCTGCACAAGGAACAAGAAACATTGTCAATTGCATGGTGAAGATAGCCGATTCGTGCACAACCGAATCACCACCGCACTACTCACCAGAAGAAGAGCTCGACAACAGGACGCCTCGCCGCGAATCACTCCAGCCGAATCCGACGTACGCCGCCATCGCTCAAAGTGAACCGTCCGGGCAAGACACCTGGTTCTTGGATAGTTGCTGCGGACAACACATGTGCTCCTCCGGACGCTTCGTACAACGCGAACATCGACTCCAGCGAGAAGTAGTCATCACGGTCGCCAGCAACCAGAACCTGCGCACATGACGACAAGGAGTAGTTCAGCTTCAATCAAGAGAGACAAACGTCATACTGCACATGTCAAAGGTACTCATCGCAAAAGGACTCGGTTATAACTTACTGAGTGTTAGCCAGCTGATGGCAAAGGGGATTCACTTGGAAGCCGACAGCACCACCCAGGAGTTTAAGTTATACCACGGGAGGGGCGGCCTCTACATCGGAAGAGCAGTGTTGAAGAACAACGTCTTCGTTCTTGATTTCGTCCCCGACCTGGGCACTGCAGACAGCGACGCCATTGTCAACTTCACCGAATGGACACACCCTCCGGACCTCGATCCTGACTTCAGCCCGGGAGGTTTCTGGTACTCGCACACCATCCCTGAAGCAGAACGAACACAAGCATTAGCAACGATTCAATGAACAGCAGCAGCAGAGACAACATCGACAGCAGCAGAGACAACATTGGCAGCAGCAGAGACAACATCGGCAGCAGCAGAACCATCATCGGCAGCAGCAGGACCAGCGACACCAGTCACCGTCGACGAAGCACCACCGACACCCGCACAACAGCTGAACCCGACTCAACGAGAAGTCCGCCGAAGCGCAAACATCGTCGCGAGCTTCTACTCCAACTCCGACATGTATCAACGTTCACCCGGACACCGCACCTCCGAAGACATCTGGCACGCACGCACAGGACATCCAAGCAATACGGTGTTAAATAACACAATACGAGCAGGAGTTCTAGACAAGGATTCGCTACTACTACTCGACGGCAGAGAACTTCAACGGGCACGAGGAACTTGCCACATCTGCCCTGAAGCCGACTTACCTCATCGACCGTTTTCTTCTCACCACAACCAGAGCGCACCTGCATACGCACCACTCGAAAAAGTTTACAGCGACATCCTCTACAATCGAGAACCAGGCCAAGTGACCTACAATTACACGATCACCTTCATCGACGCCGCCACTCGATACGTCTGGCATCGCAACCTACCCAGCCGCGACATGGCACTCGTAGCATTCGCAGCTTGGCTACCGGTAGCAGAGAGGGAATCAAGAACACAACTGAAAAGCTTCCAGTCAGACGGAGGAGGAGAGTACACCTCTCAGCGCTTCAAGCAGTACCTGGCGGAAAGGGGGATCAAGCAACTCCTCTCCCTTCCCTACGCACATCAGCAGCAAGGTGTTGCAGAAAGAATGAACAGGACTCTGCAGAACAGCATGCGCAAACTACTACGTGGCATGCGGCTACCCAACCACCAGTGGCCAGCAGCGATGGACCATGCTGTCATGCTGCACAACTTGTTGTCGTCGTCGTCACTCCCGAACAACACATCACCGCATCTGCTGTGGACAGGAAAACAGTGTGAAACAAGTGAACAGGAATGAAATGACTAAGTCAGAGTTGGGTACAAATACAACCCTAGAAAGCTGTACCCCATATGTGCTACCCCACTATAGCCTACAAACATGCATCAGCTATAATACTCTGACACACCCCCATAGGCTAAGTGGGGGAGAACAAGGGGTCACAAGACCAGTCAAGCAAAGCAAAGCAAAGCAAGCTCAGGGTGGATCACAAAGTCACCACACAGTCCGAGCACAAGAGCAGGGCCAGAGGCCAGTTCACATGCAGGAGTACAGACATATATATAAAACTAGACAAGCAAGAGCAGGTATATATATATGTCACAGTACAAGTGAAGTCCAGAGGAGAGCAAGTGAGGCAAGACAGGTACAAGACCCAGCTGGGTGCAAAAGCGCTGATGGTCACAAGGCGCGAGTGCCTTGGTGAACACATCAGCAGTGTTGGCCTCAGAGGCCACGTACGCAAGTCGCAACTGACCACGCTGCTGCAGCTCACGAGCAAGGAAGTAGCGGAGAGCAATGTGCTTCGTTCTGTGCTCCAAGCGCTGCTCTCGACACAAGGCCAGCATGGCCTTGTTGTCTACGTACAGCACTGGAGGAGAACGAGGCGGCTCTCCAAGGTC